TGCCCCAACTGTGTGCTCATTCTGTTTGCTTTAGTTGTAGTTTGTACGCTCTGTGTTGTTGTTCCTGAAGGAATCTCATCAGACTGATTGCACTCAGAGGGCTTCAAGCTGCAACACTGTGTCATGTTGGAAATATTCATGAATCCCATTGCACTGGGATAAATTCATAGAATGCTTCGGCCTTAACGACTCATCAGTTCTAGCACGTACACACCGCATGGAATATATTCCAATCCAATATCATTCTCCACCAGTGTCTTAAACATTTATCTTTTGCTACCTGAGGGATTGATAGTTAATTATATTTAGCTGGAGAGCTGGGAACTGAATCAAATCTAAAAGCAACATAAAAGTATTTAATAATGTCTTTCAAGGCCAAATAGTATTTTCTTTTTTATAGAGGTGACTTCCAGCAACTTGCAGCGACTTCTAGCAGCTCTTCCAGGAGACAATGAGAATATCAATGAGCTTCTTCAGGAATCTGTCTGTGTTTCACGGGACAAAGCCGGTGTTGTTACTGGCTGTGCAAACTGAGAACCTAAACATTTACCTCATCCAGTGCAAGTGCCCTGATTTGTCACTGCCAGGCATTTGCCAATACGGACTTTCAGTGTCCTTTTAAAAGCTATACTGAATTTCAATCCACATTTGAAATGAAAAAAGCCCATATTTTGAAGTAGAATTAACCCTGTGAGGTCTTAGTCATTACCCTTAACTCTATTCTATTAAAAATATTGTTGCTTGTTTTCTTTTCTTGGCTGTCAGGGGTCTAAGAGGTGATCAGTCTTATAAAAAGACACAGGACTAGGGTTAGGGCGACCGTGGTTCAGGGGGTTGGGAAGCTCATCTTGTAACCTTATCCTTATGTATCGTGTAAGGTCGCCGGTTCGAACCCCAGCTCTGTCTGTCCTGGTCGTTGTGTCCTTGAGCAAGACACTTCACCCTACCGCCTACTGGTGTTGGCCTGAAGGGCTGATGGCGCGATATGGCAGCACAGGGCAGCTGTGGCTACAACTGTGGTTTGCCTCACACCAGTGTGTGAATGTGGAAGCGTTTTGAGTCTCCAGAAAAGCGCTATATAAATGCAATCCATTATTATTATTATTATTATTAGTTGCCGATGATGCCTTAAACATCACATCTACTATTTGCTAGAAAAAAATAACCTACTTGCTTGCTCATTACCTGTTGCCAAAAGAGCTCCTTTAACTGACTTTTTTTCATCTGGCTCTGCATTCTAAAACACATTGTGTATCTCAGGCGTATTAAGCAGACCAGACTGTTTTTACAGCTAGAAACAACTGGGAGTAAAGAGTCAGCTGCACACTGTACTCCTCTGTGAGTACTGTAATACCCCGTGAGGATTCCACATAGAGAAACAACAACACATCTGCATCTCCCACAAATTTTCCTTCCTTTTTTTTTTTCCACCCTCCCGCAGTCCCTCTGTGTACCCTCTCCCTGCTTCCCTAACTGCTGCTCCATAGCAACAGAATAACCTTCACTGAGAGGTCCTTGCACCCTGCTGTGCTCCAAACGCAAACAATAACAGCCCAGATTGTTTGGCTGCGTCCGTGACATTGGGTTTAATTGTAACTCTCCTTGGAGGTGAGCAGGCGCTCGGATGAGACTTTAACAGACAAAAGCACCTTTAATTTAGTTTCCTTTAATTACACGTCCCCTGCTGTAGCAGAGGCAGGCAAGCGGTATCTTGGCAATCTTTGTTGAGAGGCGGTTGCAGGGAGCCACCACAGCATGTTATAATTTTCAATTTTTTGGCTGCTAACTACTGTAGATTGGGTTTTCATCTAAACCTATATTAAAAATCAGCCATCACTCCGTTTTAACTTCCTTAAAATGTTCAGGTTTTCTCATAATATTCTGCTTCTTCAGGAGTTTATCCATAAATCCAGCAAATGTAAAATAGTGAAATGCTCCAAAGAGAAAATCTGCTCAAGCGTGAAGCTTTTTTTCCCTGGAAGAGTAGATTGAGTAGAGGGCATAATGTGCTTGTAGCTGGTTAAGTCTGTTGGCACACCTGAGTCCCCCTTTGTGCTTTTAAGCCCTCACCTGCTAAATGAAAGCTCCGTAATGGTATCAAGTTACAGTGTGTGGTAGAGGCAATTTGGATTCAGCGAAGCGAAAAATAACTTTCGCCTGAGTTCTCACCTGTAAAGGCCCCCAGAACGGACAAAAAAAAAAAAAAGGCACGTAGCATATTAATACACAAATGTCGACACGCAACTTCAATCTGAAATGAGTCGTGAGCAGAAGAGAGATGCATTCAGTAATACGCTGCAGCTCTATGGCAGGTTTTTGCAAGGCAGGACTGCTGTGACAGTGGTGGTGTACAAGGTGAAACATTCCACCTGAATGCTAAACAGGAAGTTGTTTGAAAGAGAAGCTTGCAGTATAAAAAGAAGCCAATGAATACTTTATCTTAAGCTGAGTACAGACTAAACGACTGTCAGGCCTGTTGTGAATGCAATTTGGACTCGTTGACGGATTGAGTGTCTAATTTATGTGGGTTTTTTTGTTTCTTCCACAGAAGTAGCTGGAGCTTTTATTTACCTCACCTGCAGAAAGTATCAAGGCCTTTATTTGAAGGGGGCTTTTATTAAAGACTTTAATTTATAATTCCTTCTGTTTGAGCCTAATATGTACAACTTCTCATATTGATGTGCTCCCATTTCCCTGTTAATAGTACAGCACTACACTGTTAACACAAAACAAACTCCTACCAGGCCCTGTGGTCATTTAGCATTACAGTGAACATTTATTAACAAGGACTTTATTGTGATAGATCTGCTGGATCTCGTATTGCTTCAGTAGACCTGTTGGGTCGTGCACCAGAGGAAAGACCAATCAAGCTGTTACCCAGTGACTACAGTGACAACACTACTACACTACATTGTTATAGCACTATAATTTATTATGCGAACACTGTTAATGTCACTTGTAGGAAGGGGGGAAAGAAAAAAACTAGGGTCAAACATTTGTAACTAGAAGCAGATTTTGCAGTTCATTCAAGAAAAATTGCCGTACTTTGAACATGTGTTCTGTATATAAGAGGAGCACTGAGAGATTTTTGAAGACCTGTGAAGAAAATCACATAAAACACAAAGGAACACAAAATGAAAAGAGGAAAAAAACAACATAAAAGCCACTGTGATTTAAAAAAATATGGATTTCACCACGTGGGTGGCTGATTCTTCTGGGTGGGTGAAATTTATCTCTGTGGACACGCCTCTGTGATATTTGCTTTGATGCACACCACGAAAAATAGGGGAAGCAGTGCTTATTACATTATAGTGCTTGTTATACATCATGAATTATGTGCATAAACTTGGACATAGAAGAAAGGCAACGATACCCAAAGAGGACAAGTTGGATTTTTAATAATTTCTCTGAATAATAGATGTATTCCAGTAATACTCCGCAGTGTGATTATTAAACACTGGCCCTTTTCACACTTTCTGATGGTTCCTTTGTGCCTAAATGTGAGTCAAAACCATTTCCAGTTTGTGATATTTTGTTGTGGCTTTGTGTAAAATCTTTGACACGCTTTGGTAAAGCAGCTGCCTGTTTTATCAGGATGGTTAGAGTGGCTGATGTGTAAGTGTATTAAAACAGCCAGTGACAAGTTGGATGAGAGCTAGAAAAGATGATAAAAAAGATGGAAGTGAAACATGTGACTAAAAGAAATAAAAATCCTCACACGTGTCTGGGCACAGCAGAGATGAACTAAGATTGGGGAAAGGGCCGATGTGACAGCAACAATTGCGTACAGTTGCAATGATTAAAGAGAATTATGCAGGACCTGTAAACCAGGCCTGCTGGTGTGATATTCTCTGCCAGACGCAAACTTGGCAACTCTCCTGCTGGAGCAGAGCTGGTGTTAGAGGGAAAAAGGGAAGAGAAAAAAGACTCCACTGCGGAAGACTTGTGAAATTATTAATTTAATTTACTTGTGAAAGTGTTGGGCAAGAGGACGGATGGACTGTGTAATCTTTGAGGTGGTCTTCCGTTGTCTTCTTTTCTTCCTTTCTACCTTTTATTTCTCGCTATAGGCAGAGACAAGAACAGCTTGCTCTCAATGTGTTTGTTAGTATTTCAAGTGTGCATTTAATAATACTTAACAGAAGTAGACCAAAAATAGGTTTGTGGCTACTCTCTAAATATCTCAAATCTGTCACTGTTAAGCCATTTGCCAGTTTTATTTGGAAAAATATGGAACTAAGTTGAATGAATTAGCGAACATGCTGAGCTTCACTTCACTAAAATGAAACTAGGACACCTAAATTTTTATGGTTAATGATCAATAAAAAGTGTGCAGTGAAGCCAGAACCAAGCATTGAAGCATTAAAAATAAAATTAAATAGCATTAAGTAAGTTAATAAAATTATTTAAGACTCTTGTTATTGCGTAATGTCAATGGAGCAGCTGCATGCATTGTTATCAGGCTTTCAGGGGGGCAACAAAAATGTGAAGTTTTCTATTATGTGATATTTCCTGGCTCACTGATAAATGTATTTACTGTTTTATGTTGGTTTATTTTTTATTACACGTGTTTGTGTTGTAGCTCTTTTTGCTCTCACAGCTCAGAAGGTGGAAAATCAAATCAAAAATCAATTTTATTTTAGGACAGATTTAATGTGGTGTTAATGTCTGCAGAGTTCTGTTATATGGTGTGGCATATATTGTAAAATTATATATTTAACAAAAGTATGGCTGTTAGTTATACAAGAATAAATCAATGCGTTTTATGCCAATTAATTGCATTGTTGCTGCTGTTGTTAACAGCAAAATTCAATTTACTTTAGAATTTTTTTCATGAGCTCTCGTTTTAGATAGCTGTATTAGCTCTCTCATTATTTTACTTGTTTGTTTATTTTTAGCCTGATCATTCGATTCGTGGAGCTATTATATCAGCTGGTGTTAACTATGGGAGATATATCAGTATCTGCATTCATAACAGCCAGTAAACAAAAATTAAAAACGTGAAGAAACACCCTTCAATCGTGTAATTACTGTTGATGTGGCATTGTTTGTCCACTAGAGGGCACTCTGCAACTTCCCTGTTAATGACAGGCATTTGAAATGCCGTAAACACAACTGCCAGCTGGTGCTAGCAGATCATCCGCAACTTATTGTGACAATAAAACAAGATTTCTTTTAAGTTGCATTGTCCTATTCTCCTAGTAAGCACATACATAACAAATGTTAGGGATCTGTTAAATGTGTCTGGAAGAAAAACATAGTGACTGATAAGTTGAATTTTTAAATAACCAGTCTTAAAAATGCTGTATTAGTTGGGCTCTGGTTTTTTAATTCAACAGAGTAAGAACACACTCAGTCTTCTACCTTTTCCAGGAAACTGGGACACAGACTTTTAACACAAAAGGAAATAGCCGCCCTGTTATTTGATCAGTCACATCTTAATATGAGCCTTTGAGGTGGTGAGAGCTTTGAAGTCAGCCATGCTGGATATGTGCAGGGACACTGCTCTGCCAGTATCTCGAACATTAAGAACCGGTGTTGGGTTGACACAAAGGCCTTAGTGTCTGTTTACCAACTTAGACCATTTCTGTTCCCTGTTAGCGAAAATACCCACTCTTCTGGCAGCCATGTCTGCTGTGATTAATGCTTCCCAGTAGGAGTCAGAGTGTAAGTCGAAAGCAATGCTTTAAGGATAGACTGAACCTTCTCTGACCGCCATCGAATTGTTGATGTCTCATTGCGGCTGCTGATTGATTGGTTAGGGTTTAGCAGTCTGAGTTTACATCACAGAGAGAGAGAGGAGCATTCATGCATTCATGTTTCTCACTGAAGCTTCTCCACGAGCCAGAAAGTTCATTTCAAAACGAGACCGCTGAGTTATGGCTTATTAAAATCTATTCTTATCCAAGTTGTAAAACAGTGTTCTGATGGAAAAAAATGTTTATTCGCTGAGCAACTTCAGCAGCTTTGTTGTTGTATAGCTGGAGCGAGTTAGTGTGTGAATGTGTGTGTGCGTGTGCGAACTTATGTGTAGGAGAGAGGGAAGGAGGAAGTCGGGAGTTGTGGGAGAAAGATACTGCCACTTGTGACAGACTTAAGAGCAGAGTGACTGACAGAGGTGAAATTGCTTGGGAAAGGATGTGAGGCTGCTCCTCCTTTCCCTCCTCCCCTCCTCCCTTCTGCTCACTTTCCCTCCAGACTTCTTTCACTCGCGAATGAAGTATGAGCTACTGTATATGTGCTCCCTTTGTCTTTGAGGTGAGCTGTTCAGTCTGTTTCCCATGGGTAGCAGTGGAAGGTAGCACAGTAGTAGAGTGAGATAAACTCTGTTTTCTTTTTTTGTGTGTTTTCTCTCTTTTTCCTTTTTTTGATGTTTGTATAGCCATGCATCAGGCCCTGGACACACTGAGTGACAGCACAAGTTCCACAACTGCCAATGACCTGGACCTCATCTTCCTCAAAGGCATCATGGAGAGCCCAGTGGTGAGAATGACTTCAATAAATAAATACATAAATAAGTGTGTGAAATGTGTGTGTGACGTGGATGTGTTCTGCGGCTCCGCTGCAGAGGAGTTGTGAGGCAGTGGATTTGTGATGAAACTCTTAGCTCAGAACAGGTGATAAGAATTAATGGCCAAGTGGAGCCCTGACGCAGCACTGACCTACCTGCATTTTGTGTTGATCACAGATAGGCTTTATCGAGTGAGCCGTGACACTTGCACGGAAGATGAACACATCCAGTTGGTGCCTAAAAGCTGCTGGGAAGTGGTTTTCCACTACCATTACCATTGTGCCCATTACCATTAATGGAGGTCCCATATGACCGCATTGGGATGGACCTCATCGGGGCATTTCACTGGTGGATATCACTTTGTATTAGTTCTGGTGGATTATGCAACGTGATATCCCAAAGCAGTGCTGCTGCAGACCATTTATGCAAACAGTGTAGCACAGGTGCCGTTTCAGGTCATCTCTCAAGTCAGCATCCCGAAAAGATACTGACTGACCATGGCACATCGTTCATGTCTCGAAAGTAAAAGAACTGTATGAATTACTGGGCATTAAATCAGTTCGGACTGGCGTCTACCACCTTCAGACTGACGGGCTGGTGGATTGGCTGAATAAGACTTTAAAATTCATGATTCGTGAGTTCATTCATGAGGATGAGGATGGTGTAGCCCCATAGTCTATAGGGTTCTGTGTTGACTACCACAGAGGAATCAAGTGTCACAGTTTGACACTTATTCCATGCCCTGGGTCGACGAGCTCCTGGACCGGTTAGGCACTGCTCCCTTTTTCAGACACTGGATTTAACCAAGGCCTACTGGCAGATTCCCTTGTCTCCAGAGTCCAAGGAAAAGACAGCATGTTCCAATCCGTACAGTTTGTACCATTTTGCCACACTTCCAATTGTCTTTTTTTTCCGAGTCCCAGACACTTTCCAGTGACTTATGGGCTGGGTGCTGCATCCACACGCTGCATATGCTGCGGCCTACCTGAATGATCCATCATCCATAGTGACACCTGGGTGGAGCATGTGCAGTGGGTGGCTGGGGTCCTGGAGTGTCTGAGGCAGGGGCTCATTGCCAACCCGAAGTGCGCAGTTGGATGTATGTAGGTACAGTATTTGGGGTACCACTTGGGGGTGGGGGTTAGTCGGCTCGGCCGGATGGCTCCCCGGCCTCAGTCGGGAAGTGGTGGAGCAGTGGCTTCAGTGGGAAGTGCCAGAAGGCTGACAGAGCAGCTGGGACATATTTTGGTGATCAGTCGTGCTAATTCAGTTGCAACCTGGGACCACAAGAGAAGGCTGCGCCAGTAACAAGTTGGGTGAAAAATTGTACAGAGCAATCTTGAAAAGTTGCATATATAACACAACGAGTAACTAACAGTGTGTACGTGTGGGTCATTCGTGTCACAGTGTGTATGCCTGTGTGATGTGGTAACATTGGGGACGTATTTTAAGTTAGATGCAAGTTTGTTTTAGAGAAAAATCACCAATATTGTAAGGGTGCATATTTATAATTTTGAGTTCAGTAACACAGAATAAAATGTTAAAACTTCTGTGTTAGAAGTTTATTTCTGTATAGTCATTAGCATGCCTTTAAACATATCTTAATTCTTTGTAGAACAGATTCAACAAGGTGCTGGAAACATTCCTGAGAGATTTTGGTCACATGATATTCACATGATAGCTGCACATAGTTGCTGCATATCTGTTGGGGGTACGTCCATGATGTGAATTTCCCATTCCATCACATCCCAAATGTGCTATGTTGAACTGAGATCTGGCGACTGTGGTATACATTGAACTCATTGTCATGTTCTTAAAAGCCATTCTTCTCTGACTTCTGGCATCAACAAAGCATTTACGCCCAGAGAACTGCCGCTCGCTTCCTCTCTTTTAGACCATTCTCTGTAAACCCCAGAGATGGCTGGGAATGTTGGGAAAATCCCAGTAGATCAGCACTTTCTGACCTCTCTGGCAACAGCAACCACGCCACATTTCGAGTCACTTAAAATCAGCTTTCTTTCCCATTTTGATGCTCGGGTTGAACTTCAGCAGTTTCTACATGCCTCAATGCACAGAGTTGCTGCCAAGTCTTTGTGTTTTCTCTTAAATTTTCACATCCTATGAAAAGCTTTAACACTGTTACATTAAAAGTCATTTTTGCCATGTTCTTTTTTTTTTTGGTTACTAAGCTACCTGGGTATTGGAGTTAAGTCTTTAAAATATCGTCAGTACATTTTTGAAATGACTATTCAACCAGATCCACTTATAGCCATATTTGGTGTTAAAGAGCAGAACAACAGGAATCTGTCTGTAACTAAGCTTAAAATAACAGAGTTTGTCAGTTTATTAGCACAGAGATTGATTCTTCTGAATTAGACGAGCCAGGTAAGCATCTAAAACTTAAGAAATTAAGATTCACTGTGCATGGCTTTTCTGATTAATCTCAGAAAAACTGGAAACTTTTGTGAACTACATTAAAAGCTAAGCTTTAATAACCACCCACAATTCTATTCTGAATATTATTTAAAATTGATTTATTATTGTGCTAGCCCCATGTCAGGCTGACGCCTGTCCAGGGTGTACCCTGCTTCTCGCAATCTGGTAGCTGGGATAGGCTCGAGCTCCTCCCTCGCAACTTTAATAACAATAAACGGAAGAGAAGGGACGGATGGATTTACTAGCATGTTTTAATTTGACTTTTCATGGGAGTTTTAGAATTCCTATTGCAAGAAGACTAGAAAAAAAAACTTTGTTTTGTTTGTTTGCCTCAACATTCCCATTAATAGAGATTGGGAGAGCCAGCTGAGCATGCTCAGCAGGGGCAGGAACCAATTTTGTTGATGCTGTGCAAACTTAAACCCAGCTAACGCACACCTCTGGCTTATGTCACTGCTGTTGGCACAGGTGGAGCTTGTTTCTAGGCGTTTCATTGTTGCAGCAGGTTGAATGGATTCCAGAAAATATGCAAAAATACACAAAAAGGTTAAATGTGTCTCTGCACATAACAAAAAATAACAGATAAACATATATTTCTTTTTTTTTAGAAGTATTAGCATTCCTATTCTTTCAAACCTGTCAGTCATTTAAACAACACACATGAAGGGAACAGCCCACGTATTCTTGATTTATTCAGTGCAGATGGCAATAGCAACTCTAATGATCACTAAAAACATGAAGTAGATTAGATTAGACATAGATTTAAAATGTATTTATTTATTCAAAAAGCTGTGCTCATAAGAGATGAGACATGTTCCTTATAACTCTCTTTATATTTACTGCATTGAAAATGACTCACTTGCACATTTTGCATAGGCTTGACAAGCTCTCTGTACATTATAATGCCTGTGTGGTTTTCACACACAGAATGTTTTGATGCCTTCTTCTTTCACTGCGAAATGTGACAAAAATATGACTGTGGAATTGGTTGTATCCAGCCTTGGTTTGAGCTGCTGCTCTGTGAGGTACTAAACAATCTGCTAGACTTAGCGTAAAGGATGCATTCATCAGTTTTTAATGAGACTTCCAAAATCTAAAATGTAAAAGGAGAACCTTACACCTTGTGATACTCGCTACTAAAGTATTACAGCAAAGAAGAAACAAGGATGAAAAAGGCTGCCATGCCACTGAAACATCTTTGATTTACTCTACATGCACTCTTCTTTTTTGTCATCAGTGAAAATAAACATGTTCAGTTTATACAGATTGCGTTTGGATTAAAGAGAGAGAAAATCAGTGTAGTCGTGCCTACAACATCATCCTTTTGTCCAAGAAAATTCAGACATGACTGGCAGTCTTTTTTTTTTGTCTAGACTGGTAAAATATTTACTGTATCAATAATAGAGCAGGTGCCATCAACAATTCAGTAACTGGATATTTTTCCATAGGCCTGATTTTAGTGACAGTCAGCTGTTTCTCTACGATGCCTTAGTGTGGATCCTTGCATTTCTTCAATCATCACGATGTATACTTGCACATGGGCTGCATGGCTGAATAACCGAGCTGATTTCTCAAAAACTACAAAGTAGTACTCTCCATGCACATGATGAGAGATGCAATTTCTTAGCTGTCCTCATGCAAAACCAGCCCTAGGTCATTCTTATTCAAATGGAGGTACAGGGTATAGCTTTTTGAAGTGAATGGAGCTGAGTGGAAGAGCTGAGTGGTGCCAGACAGTTTTTTTTTTTTCGCAGTTTCATCTCACTACGTCTTCCCCTCCCACTTCTTGCCAAGAGCAGAATTTTTCTCATCCCTTTTTAAAAACCTGGACTTTTTTTCCCAAGCAACAGGAGGATAAGGAAAAAGCTTCCCGTTGTGCACTGCAAAGACATGCAAGGAAAAAGTATGTGTAATTTAAAGTATAGACAGAGAGTTAATTTTTCCTTATATTTGTGCTGCTAAGAGTAAAGTTGAAGTTGTTTCTCTGTCCAGGGAGATGCTCCTTGCATCCTTTCTCTCTCTGTGTCCCTTTCTGTTGCTTCGTTTTTGGTATGCTTTGAGGCATGTTTGTGTGTGTGAGTGCGTGGCAAGAGCATGACCCTGCCATTTGTGCCGAGTGTCTTAGAGACATACAGTCCCAGTGTATTGATGAGCATCCTCATAAAAGATTCATCTGATGCAAGCTGTGAGTCTTGGTGAAGGATTTAAGAAGGATTTCCTGGACGGTGGATTCCCTTTGACTCGTGGTGGATCTATAAACACTTAACGAGCTTTTGCTTGATGTGCTGAGAGACCGAGAAAATGCTAACAGAGAGACGGGGACGATAGAGCGAGTGTTCATGTGTGCACGCTTATGGCACGGTGGCTGCAGTTATGCTAATTGCACAGAACAATGCAATCAGCACAACCCACAGTTCTATAAAGAATCAGAATCATGATCACAGGACATTTAGCAGATATTGATAAGAGGAGCTGAAGCTCGAATATTCAGTTGCAGCGCTTCATTATTATCAGTTTTGTGGTACTGACTCAGCACCTGGCTCTCTATCTAACAGAGTAGTCGGAACTATTAAAGTAGTTAGGGCGACTAAATGAGCCAACGCTTGCTTTGACACTTTCAGCTTTGTACCTCATGCTATTTAATCTAATTTCTAAGCCGTCACATGCCGCCTGTTCAGACTATTAATGAGACTGCGGCGTCTTGGTAAAACAATGCCACGTGGCTCTGAAATAATGAACCTTGGTACTACTCACAATGGCTTCTGCAAAGTATCTTTCTATAATACAGCAAATCTCTGGCTCTGTGGTTATCCATGACCTCCTGCACCATCAACTTGGCACACAGTGATATATATTGGGACCCTGAAGGTTCTAATCTATATTAGATATTAAGGCATCATTGTGTTGCCCAGCAACCAACCACTAACAGGCTAAATTGACCAATTTTTAGGATCTTTGCACCTGTAACACCTTATAAAAAATTGTTATATTTGAATGATATATGTGATCTAATATGGTGCAATCACATTGCCTGGCAACCACCTAACAACAGATTAATGTAAATGGACCAAACAGTGCTATAGCATGGGATTATTTTAAAATAAGGTCCTCATGTCTCACAAACCTGGCATTCAGTTTATGTTTATTTCTATAGATGACATAGAGGTCCTGTTGAATTACAGCTGATATCTTAGGCAAAGGCAAGGAAATTGTCTCATGCAGCTTGTAAAATGGCAAAAATGAGAGAGTGAATTTTTACAGACTAATATAATTGTAACACTGCTGCGCCAGCTTTGTTAACTGGTTGTCTTTAGAGCACCAGTGCTCATTAGCCTTGATTGCTGAAAAGCCTAGATAAAGAGTTGTACTACTGGTTACTAGGGGTGGGAGAAAATGTGGATACTCGGTACACTTCAGCCAAATATGAATATTTTTATTTTAACATGGGCTTGCTCTAAACGGATTATCCATCCATCCATCCTCGAGGATTAACACAGATGGCCAATTTAGAAATATTTGACTTAGAGTCATAAGAGTCCTGACCTACTATGGTGGTGCTTATTAAATGTATGAAGGTCAAATAAAGCGATGCTAACTCACTTGCAGTTGAAGAAAAAGAAAAAGGAGAAACTCTTTTCCTCAGATTACTTTTTATACCCCTCAGCTATAAAAGGCTGGCAGGGTATTGTTGGCCACTGGCTGCGTGTGCAGGCGGCGTTGACACCCAAGTTTGTGAATGTGATACCTCAAGAACGAGGTGAAGTAGGAACTTTAAGTTATTAAGTTACTTAGTTGTTATTTAGTTACTTTTTAAAATAAGCATTCTGTTAGTGTAACCATGCCACTGCATTTTCTTCTTACTTGTTACTTCCGTCCATGACTTCTAGGCATTCTGCTGAGCTCGTGGATATGGTTGCGTTAGCAGGCTTGTTAAGGTCAGTTAGTGAGGTGGCAGAGAGAACAGTGTTTACATGTGGCAGTATTTGCATCATTTTATGCCAGAGGGATAAAATGTTGCTGCTGTTGCTGCATCTCTGAAACTGCAGCGAATAGCTTTTAGGTCAGCTTGAGTTGTCACTCTGAGGGGAATTAATAGTCCTGCGTGCTGGGCATGTGATTGAAGAGGTGCTGCCAATGACAGCTCGCTCTGCAGGTTAAGTCAGGATTTCCAGAAGTAGATGAATGGTAGGATGGACACTGTAACACATAGGTAAGGTCATGGCAATGTTTTCTTTAAAATTTATTTTATGTGGAAGTTTTCTTGCGTACTCTTATCAATAGGTAATACTATAATCTAAGAGATTGCTTTTTAACTGTGCTGAAATTACTTCTAAAAGGAATGCCACTCATCACCAGAGAATAAATGTGTTATTACTGCAGTTTTCAGAGTAGATGTTTTTCTTCACTTACACAGATCTGGGTTTTTTTGTGTCAATCGCATTGTGTGTATACCAGTTATTCCTACTTCTACTCTCTGCTCATACTATGTTGTTCCTTAAGGTTAGAAAAGAGCTGCGTGCTTGCTCGAATGCCTGAAGATAAAACCTTGTATCCCTCTGTGTGTAGTACCGTGTAGTTAAGTACACAGATTTATGTGTTTGACTGAATATCTGTGGATCTGTTTGTGCGTTTACGTGTAAGTTTCTTGTCCCCCGGCATGGATCCTTCATCTCATCCTCAGCAAACAAACATTTTAGCTGCCAGGTTAGTAGTCAGTCCCACCACACAAATACTCTGTGGGATTGCCTAACAATATGAATCTACAAGCACAGCACCGGTTAGTGTGCAGTTGCCAATTGTGTCACTGTAAATGATTGCATTTGCATTTGGTTTTTGAAAAACAGTCTGCGTGTAATTAAGTTCTGTAGCAACTGAATGGTTTGCAGAGCATAGCACGGTGTACCATAGAGAGGTTTAACCTAGAGTCAAGAGTCACATGATAAGTTTGCTCACTCAGAGCCAGAGGTGTGGAGACCTTGTGTACGTCTATCTTTAGCAGCAGGGGAGCGGAAAGTGAAAAATGAATGCTCCCTGAAATATTGATGTCTCACATCATACCTTGAAAAACCTGCAGGGTACATGTTTCTGCTCAACTTGGTGCCTGTAGTTATTTATTTTTATTTTTGTATCATCAAGTCACCATTTATGAACACAGGCTGTGCGCTTGTCTCTGCAGGAGCTTGGATTGAGGTTACTTGGTTTTGTTTTGTTTGCTATTGTGCTCTTTGCTACTTCTGCTTTGCTAAATTTGTTGTAACTTCACAAGCTACTTTGCTGCACTCATTAAAAATAAAATAAAGTAGGAGATTGTGTAGTTTTGCTCCATCAGTGGAAAATACGCACAACACGTAATAGGAGAGACAGGTAATGGACTGAGATTGGAAGGATAGCCTGGAGTAACATCTGTCTTATATTAATCGAATCCTAGGCTCATGAGCGATTTGAGGAACCCAAGCTTGAAGCTGTGCGTGAGAACAATGTGGAGCTGGTCCAGGACATCCTCAAAGAGCTGAGCCCGCTCGCGAACAGAAGCCAGGCAGCTGATGAACTTGTTCGCATCCTGAAGGAACCCCACTTCCAGGTCTGGAAAACACGACACATCCCTCACATCAAATTTTAATTTGAATAAACCAGCACTTGTCTAGCTTTTTAAGCTTCGTGAAACATGATTTCCCTTACTGGAGCTGCAGTACTTTGTTGCTCTGATGGCAGAGCCTCACTGATGAGAGCAAGACGAGAACATTTTTTGCAGTTTATGTAATGTGTATTACGTCTTCATGTGTGATTACATCACCTGTCGGTATGTTCACAGTCCCTCCTGGAGACTCATGATTCTGTGGCATCCAAAAACTATGAGACTCCACCACCGAGCCCCTGTTCATTCATGGACGCAGCCCTCAACAACCAGCCGGTTCCTCCAGACGCAGTCAGGATGGTCGGCATCCGTAAGGTGTCTGGTGAGCACCTGGTAAGTCTGCTCAGTAAAGAAAACCTGCAAAGTGTAATCATTAAGGCTGGATTGAGCCTGACTATAAACTGTAAGCAGATAAAACACCCCAGAGAAGTGGAGGATTTATGCTTTGGGTGGAGCATATGCACTCAGTATAATGAGATTTTTCTCTACCATTGTTAAAAAGAGACAAAAGTCAGATTTATGCGGCATTGTAGCGCTAAATTGGTGTGATTTATGTCCACGGTGAGCAGCACATACGGATAATTTGATGATAACTTTGCCAGATGCCCTATTGTCTCACTTTCTGCACACAAACTCTCTGCCATCTTTCTCGAATCAACCAATCACGGGTCAGAGGTGACGAGACATTTGTTTAAGATAAAAAAGAAAAATAAGGTGCAATAATAGTGATTCAATGTTAAAGCAAGAAGCCTGAAATATATCTCTTTAAGCCTAAATGTCTTTCTAATATAACAGTAGATATGTTTGCATCTGTTGGCTTCCTAATTTCAGCTCAAGTGATTTTACCATTGGCTTCATCCCTCACAATTAAATTAAACACTCACCCCCACTCGTCTCTTAAACCACTTTACAGTGGAGGACATTGCCAGGCTGTCCCCCTGGGTCTCCTTCTCTAGTTAGCCCGCATGAAAAATAATTATTACACTGAGACTCTGTACATGTGCACAGGGAGTGACTTTTCGAGTAGAGAGCGGCGAGCTGGTGATTGCCAGGATCCTCCACGGTGGCATGATTGACCAGCAAGGTCTGCTTCATGTTGGCGACATCATCAAGGAGGTGAACGGCAAAGAGGTCGGCAACGACCCCAAAGTCCTCCAGGAAATGCTGAAGGACGCAAGCGGCAGCGTTGTACTGAAGATCCTGCCCAGCTACCAGGAGCCGCACACACCTAGACAGGTCGGTCATTTTTAGGAGTGTTTACAAAGCAAACCCGATTCAAGCTTTGCTTCAAATCAAGTTAAATCTGTGCAGTTAAAACTTGTTCTGCAAACTCTGCTGCATCATAGCTGTTGCTCTTTGATCACACATGAAAGATCCCCAAAATACCTAAATGGCACAAACTGGAGCTGGAAATAAATATAAAAAGGACACTTTAATGGAACTTTCTGTGCTCGAAATGCTTTGATCTTCCACATTTAAGCTTCTGTTTTTGTTAAAGTAGAATACATTGTGGAATAAATATTGCATAAAAAGATTCAATTGATTTAAAAGTATACAGTCATTTTCATCAGTAAGCACCACTTAATGTCCTCCCTGGCATCCACCCTGCTATCTATAACCTTGCACGCTGTGCCAGGAATCATTATGTAATACCATAATGGGACTTTTTAGATGACACTGGCTATTTAGCTTTAATATGTGCATTACAGCTTTGTCACTTATCCAAATGCAGAGCAGTTTTCCTGCACCCATGCATAATGGATCTGTAATTGAAATCGTCATGAGCAAGCTAGAGAAAGATCTCACAGGCAGCTTATAACACAGAGGATCCCCTTCATATGTTTGCCTTTTTTTCATTATTTCAGATGCCACAGTTGATTGACTATCAAATGTTTGCAGGAAATTGCTTGGTGTAGTGCTTAGTTATTAGCTGATGTCAGTGCTCTCCTCTGGTTATGTTAGCTGATGAGCATTAGCTTTCTAAGAATCAGACTCTGATCAAACTGAAACCCGCTCACCGAGTTTAGTATTGAGGGGAAATTGAAAGGTTATCTTGCCTGGTAAATTTTTGCCAATAGGATGCAAGGATGAGAGGATGCAGTGTACACAACACTGCTACTGATTGGCCTCTGCGAAGAGGAAAAATGCAGTGAATCTTGAGAAGCTGGGCTAAATAAATTCTTTATGTCTAACCAACATATACAAGAACATCGTTTATAAGAAAAGAATGGTAAATGGTAAACGGCCTGTATTTGTATAGGTGAAAAAAAATCCAGCTTATATATGAGATTATACTATAAAGATAGTTTGCAGTTAAACTGTTTCTGTGTTCACCACCTACTAGAAATGTATTTTTATAGTCCTTTAGTGTGAAGAAAGCTGTGATTTTACAAAGCTTACGATCTCCTAATTTATTGGTTCAGACATGCATGACAGAATAAACTTTAATATCTTTGGTTTAATTTTCCTCCTGAGGAAAAAGATATATCATGAGGACAAAATTTTAAGACACCTGTTTCTGACTAGATTTGTGTGAAAAAAACGTCTATTTCTGTCTATTTCTTAATTCCGGGATTTAATTAATCAAATACAAGCGATGCTTTGGCCTCAGTGCGTGCATCAGGTTACTGTCACACTAAGACGGGTTTTTCACTCTCATCTTCACACATGCACATTTGTAAAGGACCAATAGTATCACGTTTAAACCACAGATAGCATAAACCAACATGGTGATGTCTGAAACACTCAACTCGATGACTTCAGAAACCAGTGCCTGTCTTTTATACTGTCTGTGAATTAAACTCATTAGGTAAGTTTAATTCCAGGGGTGTGTTTTATTCCAGAACCACGATCTGTTTCTAAACCTAACCTCATTAGTTTTGGTGTAAAAACCAGACCAACAGCTGAACATGAAAGTAAACAAAACAGCAGGGAGTAAAAGCAAAACAAAACAAACTCCTTGAAAAGACTACGGCCAACAAATCACCATCCCTCCCTTATACACTCTAATGTGTCAAGGCACTGACTTCAAAAGACACCTGTGCGTATCTTTACGATGGTAGCAGAACCTTACAGAACAGAAGTATTTCACACATTAAGATGATAGCACCCTGCACCAAAAGACAGCGTTCAGTCTGGCAAAATTGCTGAAAGAGGGCCTTCATGTATAAGAGAAATCACCTCCTTTCCATTCAGCACCTCAGAAGAGTCTATCCTCAGGTATAGCTCTTCATGGATTTCAAAAGATGCAGATTTCTTTGTAAGAATACATATCTCCGGCATACATTATGGTCTAAAAGCCTTCGCTTTGTTGAGGGTTTAGTTTTCCTTTTTTCTATGAAAGCTGCCCTACTTAAATACTTAAGAGAAATCTGTGCGCGGGAGACATTAAAGAATGATTGGTTGTGCTCGCACAGTTAAGAGCTGTGTAGGTGGACGCACAGCGTATGTGGTGTCGATGCTACGATTAGAGTTGTACCCAGAAGTCTCAGTGTAATCCAGCTGTCCAGGCCTGGAGCTTGGTTGTAACGCTGGCGACTAAACTCAACTGACAGCTCGCTTTGGCTAAAGGAGAATATGCGTTTGTCCGTCTGTCTGTCGTGTCCTTACAGAGGGAAGGACGCACGCACGCAAAGGCAGTACGGTACAGGATGGCAAAGCCCGTTTTATGTTCATGCATCAGTTCAGAAAAGAGACGACGTCAAGCGCGGAGGGGGGAGGAGGGGATGGTTGCCATGGCTACAGATTTTGGCTCCCTCTTTATTTCTCTCTCACTCTTTTTCTCCGTGTTTTTTTTTTTTTTTTTTTTTTTTTTTTGTCTCAGTCCATCGACTCCTTGTCCTATCAGTGGGGGTTGGGATAGATGGTTTGGTTTATGAGCTGAATCCTGCAGGCTTGAGCTGTCGGAAAAGCGAGCTGGGAGATAGGGAAGGCTTTACATGGGCTAGGGCTGTTTCATATTGATGGACAGTCGGTCATCCAGACCATCTAAGCCGATCACGTGTACACACAGGAAGCATCACGATTCTATATTCGGTGTAAAAGGTTTGACTGACATGTTCCCTCTCTCTAATGTAATTATTCATTCAGGCCTTTGTGAAGTGTCACTTTGATTACGACCCGTCTCATGATAACCTGATTCCATGTAAGGAGGCGGGGCTTAGCTTCAACAGTGGGGACATTCTGCAGATCTTTAACCAGGAGGACCTCAACTGGTGGCAGGTTAGTACAGCCACATGTGCGTATTTTAGCCACATAAGATGTTTCGATTTGTTAGCCGCTTCACGTTGCATGTGCGTTTCCCCTTCTTAGGCCTGTCATATAGAAGGTGGCAGCGCAGGTCTAATTCCAAGCCAGCTACTTGAGGAGAAGAGGAAGGCTTTTGTGAAGAGAGATCTGGAGCTCGCTACTACAGGTACACCTATTAGCGGTATGCAGCAGAGCAGAGAAGCGCTTCTCATTATGCAGAGTCGATACAGGCTCCTCGCTGCACAAACACCCCGGCAACAAAGCCAACATCTGTTCCTCTCTATATCATACAAGTGCTTCATCTGGCGCTGTTCGCTCATCCTCCTCTCACCTCTTCAGTCTGCTCCTCAGTCAGAGAGCGCTGATCTGGTAATGAGCATCGGAGTGACTCAGGTGGCCTGATCCAATCTGTTGGTTATTAAGCTGCAGGGTCTGACATTCAAGCGCTACCCCTCCTCGACAAGAAGGCTTGATTGAGGAGCGGTGATAAGACAACGGTCCGTAAAATCTGATCAATAATCATCTCTCCTCTCATGAGACGTGGCGTGAAAAGAGGCCGTGTTTCTTTAGATTTGACTGCTCTGCTCTGCTCAGTGGCAACAAAACAGGTGGTGAGTCATAGCCAGCTGCATACCCTTCACTTGTAGAGGAGAGGAAGATGACAGTCCAACTGTACTGCCCTTGGAGCTCAGGAAGGACACAGCTGTCTATCAGCATGTTTTCCACATATACCAGCAGAGAGAGAATGAAACATTTGGAAATTGATACAATAATCTTTATCCACTGATCTATATAGTTGGGACACAATATTTAATAATTAGAACTATAGCTGTTCAGAACAAAGTCACAATTATTTTTTGCCCTACTTTGACAAGGTGAATTTGTCATCAGGATAGTACTGAGTATATGAGTACTCGTGATTCCAAGTATTACTTTCCTTCTAGAAGATACTCTCTCCTATGCCAAATAATCTGCCACACAGACGGTCAGCAGATCGTGCAGTCACAGGTGTCCCTGGCAGCAGATTGGTTGTATGCAACTAATTAGTATTGGCGCACAGTGCCATCTAGTGGTCTCTGTAAAACCCTCCCATGCTTTACATTTTCATCAGCTCTTGGAGTGTTTTCAGAAGTATTTTGTTAAGTGGTTGAAGGTTTGATGTTGCTTCTCTCTCTGCTCTGTCTCAGGTCCTCTTTGTGCAGGAGTGGTGGGTAAGAAGAAGAAAAAGATGATGTATTTGACCACCAAGAATGCAGGTAACTTTATATGAGCTTTGGGCAAAATGATCCACTACCTTGTGATTTTTTTTTTCTTGTCTCAGTTTGACTTATTATTACTTCCCGATTAGAATTTGATCGCCATGAGTTGCGGATCTACGAGGAGGTTGCCAAAGTCCCGCCCTTCAGGAGGAAGACTCTGGTTCTGATCGGAGCTCAGGGTGTCGGCCGTCGTAGCCTGAAGAACAAACTGCTGGTGTCAGATCCCCAACGCTATGGCACCACAATCCCCTGTGAGTAAAGCTATCATCACACGACGCCATACTCACCAGTAAAAGCACAAGCAGGTTTTTGTTGTAGCTGAAGTTGAACCTTTAGTGCAGATCAGTTTAAAAAATAACCCCAAGATGTTTCTGTTTATTGCAATGACCCAGTCACCTCTAGAAAACCAAAGGTGGATGAGAGAGATGGCCAGATGTACTCCTTTATGAGCCGCAGCGAAATGGAATGTGACATTAAAAACGGGCGTTTCCTGGAGCACGGCGAATATGACGGGAACCTGTATGGCACAAAGATCAGCTCCATACACGATGTGATAGAAACAGGAAAGATCTGCATCCTGGATGTTAACCCACAGGTAGAGGAAACAGCTTTACCTTCTTTATTTGGTTACACTTTAATTTCTCCAGGATAGAACAGCTTGTGGCTGCTGAAATGCTTTCAGTCTTTTCATCAATGTTTATCCAAGAGGATCTCTTAATGATCTGCATCCACTCAGATAATTATTTTTACACATCTTATTAACTAAGTCAGAGGAAGACGCTGCAGGTGTTTTTTTAATGGGATTCTTAGCTTTTCTACTGGATTTGTTTGAGTGTTTTTGCTCATTTGCGGCAAAGTGATGCAGTGATTGTAAAACATCTGTACTGTTTCTGCTTTTCTCTTAAGGCTATTAAAGTCCTGCGGACATCTGAATTCCTGCCCTATGTTGTGTTCATCGAAGCCCCAGACTTTGAGGTCCTCAAAGCTATGAATAGGTCGGCAATTGAGTCAGGAGTTGTCACAAAACAGTTAACAGTAAGTCTGTGCTTTCATTCGTTCTCTACCAAGATCATTAGAGGCGCACAGTAACAAATGAGATGTAGCTGTTGGCTCTATGGTTTGATGCGACCCCTGTGTTGCTGGAAATGGCTCATATCAGTTACTCTGGTGGAGCATTCAAGATCTGACAACATCTGAACCAAAACATTTGATGTGTTCCTGTAATTTTTTGTGCAATGTAGAAATATATATTTCAACTTGTAGCAAAAGTCTTTGCACATTTCCACCCCAAAACACATGTTATTATTTATTTAGTTAAGTTATTTCTTATTTAAACTGACTTTAATGCTTTCTTTACGTGCTCCTTTGGTGCACTCGCTTCCACTGCCGCTGGTATATTTAAATTGCTCACCTGAAGTCCTGACAGGTTCTAAACATTTGAACTGTGTGTGCTGCAATTTCACTTTGGACCTATAATTTGTTCAGAAAGCAAACATCACACTCTGTATCAAATGAATCCTTCATGTTAACAGAGATCATATCTCAAACCTCAGTCTTCGATTGAGTGTCCGAGCCTGAAGGCAGGTTGCCTGAGGTCAGGAGAAACACACCAAGGACACTTGTCATTTTGTGCGAGCACATTTGTCTTCCAGGGTCAGGTCATCAGTGCAGAGGAAGTATCTGAAGCAGGACATGCAGCAGAAACTGTGGTTCACACTGTTCACACAGCAGGAGTTTTCTTCACAATCATTGGTCATTGCCCACTCTACTCACCAGATTGAGACTCTTGTGACTGTCTGCTCTGACAAAATAAAATTTTAGTTGAAAAGTAGCTGTTTGGACACACCTGCATCACACACCAAAATGGGAAAAAGGTCGTAGCATGATTTCCAGAGAGCACTTTAGAAATAGAAACCTCGCTGGAAGCAGCCCAAAGAGGTGACCTTTAAGGAGAAACCGATCAAATTGACTTGAATCAGCTAGAGTTGTAAAAACTTTATGACCATGACTTGTTGTTGCATGGATTTTTGCAGTTTGAAAAATATATATTGGATTTGCTCGCTGTGGGTCGTGAAAGTTCTCTGGTTTCTTAACATTATGTCCACTCCCTTGGTGTCAGTAGCTTTAACAGTGTTTACAATTCTGTCCTTAAAGCACTTCTCCCTGACACACTCCTTTCAGGACTCAGAACTAAAGAGGACGGTGGATGAGAGTGAGCGCATCAAGAGAGCCTATGGACATTACTTTGACCTTTGCATCATAAACGACGGCCTGGAGGCGGCGTTCCGAAGTCTACGGCTTGCGCTGGAGAAACTGTCGACAGAGCACCAGTGGGTGCCTGTCAGCTGGGTTTTCTGAGAGTCACCGAGAGCTCGCCAGCAAGGTGCCAAGGTCACAGGCCAAAGGTTGAGGGACGATACATCACTGGTAGCTCCAGAGGGGGGGTGGGGTGGGTTGTTTTCACATGCAGCTATTGGTGGCAGAGGCGTGTGGTGAAGAAGCGGATACACTGCAGAAGACCAGCCTCATGTAGAGCATTTTTTTTTGTACAAAGTTAGTGTTCCTCTGTTGAGCCTAAGGTCAAGTTGTACTTTATTTGTCAGAACTGGAATAAAGCTCTATTGATGTTTGTAAAGAAGGACTTAGAGGTAATTATGAGGTTCAGTGCAATAGTGCGAGTGAGTGTGCGTGTGTTATCATAAATGTGGATATAGACTTAGAGTAATCCATATGTTTTGCAAGTAACAGTGCTATGTTGGAGGTTTTCCTTGAAGGACATTTAACGTTTTAGCCTTTGAATCTTAAATACTTTATGTAGTGTAATGTTTACATTGGATCGGTAGGACAGATTGGTTAAGGATAAAAGATACCAAATGTCATATTTGTATCAAATTCTCTATATTTTATTTGATCATACAGTATGATTGTATGTGTTCAGAACTGTGCGTGATCTCGTTTGTGTCCACAGATTTGAAAACTGAACAGCAATAGATCATTTTGAAGATACATGCAATACACACGAGATACCCTAATGTGCACACACACACTCTCATATATATATATATGTATATGTATACAGAAACAGAGTGAGACCTTCTGCAGTATTCCTGAAGTCTCAGTTTGTTTTATTTGCTTTTCAATGTTGAATACGTTGAACATTTCCTGTCCCGTGCTGGTAAAGCTCTAGTTTGTTTGACAGTTAAAGGATCCAGCCAGTGGATCACAGCGTGTCACTTCTGTCTGCTTGATTCTGTCGGACTTGTATTTGTAGCACTGAGAACACTTAAGCTCTATTAAGAAAAAGAAAGAAAAATACCTGACGAAGTAGCCTACAGTATGCACTGATTGTGTAATGAAGGCGAACATGTAACCTAACATTGCTGGTTGGCTAGTTGATGGAAGTACTTTTTTTGTTATTTTCATGTACAAACAGTAAAAATATTTATCAGTGGCTTCGATTTAATGCTTACTTTTGCCTTAACATGGTTGAAAAGCCAAGGAAACGCTATATTTTTTCATCATGTAACATTTCACTTCTATCACTGTACATGTTACTCAGAAAATTAAAAAAAAAATTCTGGCAACGTATTCATTGTTTATGTTATTTTTCCTTCAACCTGTACGTACTGTATTGTAATAAAGAGTATATAATGCAACATATAGAAATATATGGTGCTTTTATGGTTCTACCAGGGATCTACTACACTGTAGTCTGAATCTTCCTGTAACAACTATTAAAATTGAAATAGAGAATATGCATAGTGCATAATCATTTTTAAACTTCAAATTATATTCAATAAAAGAGAAAAGAACACTGTTTTAAATGCATATATGAGACATAATACATTCTGCTGTTGTTGACAGTTCAAGTCGAGTGTAATCTGTGTGACCTCTGAGGATTTGGGTGAGCAGAATTATTGCCCGAGGATGATGGGGTTGGTTGTTGATGTCCAGTTGGTGTCGTCCAGTAATGAGGTGCCAGAGGCAGCATTACTGGATACATGTCATAGGCAGGCGGTGGGCTACTTGGGCAGACACCTATGAGCCTGGGATCAAACTGTAGGAAAGAAGAGTTCAAAGTTAGACTGTCCTTACACAGTTCAGTTTGAATTTATGGCACAGTGTTTAATTGCATTGCCTGTAAAGCTTTTTCCCAGCTTTTCCCAACACTCAGTAAGCTTTAGATTAGTTCAATCACTGGAAACATCTGGAAATGGGAAACGATTGTGTGCAGCCAAAAAGCAGTTCTGTACGCAAGCTTGTTTTATGTTTTAGTTTTTGCAGTGATTAAGCCAACATAAATAAACCAGCGGTTCACTGGTGAGTTTAACAGCAACTGCTAAATGAGCCTTATTGCTTTATTTTTGCCAGACTCCGACTGTTTTCCCTGCAGTCTTTGTGCTAAGGCTAAGCTAACTGGAAAAACTTTGTGTTTTCAAAATAAAGATAAAAATTATGTTGGTTTTCTTACTAGTTTGTAGGTTTGAAATTAATAACCAGTGCTGTGTGAAAAGTGTTTTTTCTCTTGAAGACATTGCAGCCCTTTCAAGATAATGCGGGCTGGAATTTAATCATTTCATTAATTTATTTTTTCTGCAATTCAAATCTCTGTAGGACAAATCTGTTTGTTTTTTTCATTTATCATTTGCTCATGCGGGCATATCCATCACATAGATGTGCACCACAAAGGCTTACATGCACTATATGAACAAAGTAATGGGGCACCTAGATATTACATCTCAGCCATGGTCATCCATGCCATTAAGCTCAATTTCTGCACATCATGTGCCTCAGCATTCAGCAACCTCCTAAACTTGATATGGTCTGCCATTTGCTGCATAAATTTTTTTGGTTCCCACATGCTTCTACTTTGCATTTGATAAGGGAAACATATAGGTGGGAAAACATTCACATTCACTTGTAATGGCGGCATCTTGGGATGGTGGGATGCCTTGAAAGTTTGGAAAGAAGGCAAGTGGACTTCTTTTTGGTTTGTGAAGAGGCTAACTCAAACAACTAATGGAGAGTCCCAGGTATTTAACCTTGCAGGTAGCCCTGGGGGTCATTGAGCCATGATTAATCATCTGAGTCGTTAGGGTCATATATACTTTGTTTTGCATCGTAACGACTCAGATGATTAATAGTAGGTCAACAACCTCCCAGGCCACCTCCAAGGAGACACACCCCACTAGAGAGTAAATACTCCATCTGCTGTTTTAGAACTGAAGAAGCCTCTTGGATGAAAGGTGAAATGTCTTCACAAATCAAAGAAAAGAAGCCCAGTTTCTTTCTTTTTAGTCACTCAAGACTACCATTAGTAGTCTGTGTGAATCTACACAGGCTTAATAATGGAACTCTAGTTCTGTTACTCTATACCAGGTTTCACCACTGGAGACAGATGCATCCCTTAGGCTCGTAGCTCAAATCTATGTGCAATGTGATTCAGAAACTAGCTATAGAATTTGGTCACGCACCAGTGAGTATGGTAGTGGGAAATCCACTGTGCTGTACCGAGGAGGATCATAACGTGCGTCCACTTCTGCCTGATCCTCCGACAAAGAAATGGGTGATGAAGAATTGGTGTCATCTTGCATCGGTATGGTGACATTAAATTCTGCTCTTTTCTTTTTTGCATGGACATAGAAGCAGAATAGTATACCAGCTACAGCAAGGACTAAGACTGGGAACCTGGGAACACATTTATACCATTTTAAGATTTAATAATCGGCAATCCCTTTTGTTTATAGAGATTTTATCTTGACAAAACGAAACAACTCACATATATTGAAGGATATTCACCGCCTCAGTCGTTGCTGGAATTGGGTCCATCTGCAGGCATTACTGCAAGAAAAAAGAAAGCCTTTTAAAGACGTCCAGTGCAGGAAAAGACTTACTGCTTCTCCGTGCTTCTTACTGAATTCAATTCAATATTAGCGACAAAACCCAACAACAGTTGCCTCGAGGCACTTTACTTTGCAAAGTGAACCAGAGAAAACCCCAACAATCATATGACTCCCTATAACTAAGCATTTTGGAGACAGTGGGAAGGAAAAATTTCCTTTTAACAGGATGAAACCTCCAGATGACCCACGCTTAGGGAGGGCCATCTATCGCAACGGGTTGGGGTGAGGGGAGGCAGACAGGACAAAGACACGCCGTGGAAGAGAGCCAGAGATTAATAATGATAATTAAATGGAAAGAGATGTATAAACACATAGTGAATGAAAAAAGCTCCACACCACAATCCACTCATGTCAAATACAGACTTTCATTAACTGTGATAAATCCTTGAAATGACAATCATTCATGATTTAATCTGTATTTACTTGGTAAAAGAAATACATAAATAAAAAAATGTATAATGTCCGTGCTACTCTACATGATAATAAAACAATAGGAAGGTCTTCCTAACATAAATCATAGAGATAAAGCTAACAAAAGCATAGCATCATAACGTAATGATGTGTCTCCCTTTACATAATGCTTTATGTGAGCATATAGGAACAGTTACTATATGAGACTTGAAGTACTGACTTTAAGTTGAAGGTCTACCTGTAGTCACTCTATTATTGATGTGTTTGTCAGCAGCCTATAGAAGAAGCAGATAGTATCTCCCTTTGTGCCGCACTGAGTTTTAACAGATTGCACCTGCCATCCCATAAAAATGACACTTAGTACAACTGTAGGTAAAAAAAACAAAAACAAAGTTGATTTTACAGAATTTTTACATATGACACACCAATATGAAAACTTGATTTTAAGCCTCATTCTAATATTATAGTAGCATGAGCTTACCGTATTTCAAAATGCAAACATACAGAAAGTGTCATGACCTGTCGCTTGTTATAAAAGATAATATGTCACTTAGCTTTTACTGCAATATGGTCTTTCTTAAAGACACAGCAACACAGGACTGAATAAAACCATTGTAAATTAAAGCTTTTAACCGCCATTTATAAACCTGTCATATCTTATACAGGAATGGTGCAATGCATCATGGTCATAGTGTTTCCCTTCACATAGCTATCACAGATAATCTAAGATATCCTCATACAATTAATTTATGGTTTCTCATCATTTTTATGCAATAAATAAATAAATAAATGTTAGAAAGACTGTTACTTCTAACACAATACATTTTGCAGTACTGAGAGGAAAATTCTGTTTGCATAGATGATGTTTACCATTTACTAATATCATTCTAACGCCAAAAAACCCACACATGAACAGGTGAGTCTGTAATACTTTGAGTCCTCCATGCCTTATCACTTAAAAGAGTCTAAAAAACAATTTTTTTGTAGATATGTGATATTTACAAATTTGGAAGCACTCAAAATATTTAGATGATTGAAATACCTGAAAATTGTGACTGACCAATATCCTTGCCAGACTGATTGCCCATTTCCTCTGTTGGAATATATTAGTTTTATTTGTAGTGTTTACATGTTAACACCTGTTAAATGACGTTATCTTGTTTTCTTTTAATCCCTTTTTCTTGTGGCAGTTGAACTATTAAATGCAAGAGATGTGGACTGTGACATACCAAGTGATGGCCCGTCATGGCAGATGAACAGGAGCCATTTATCTTAAATATGTCATCTAGGAAGTGACATTCAAAATTTTCTGGGGGAGCAACAGATGTTTAAAAACCCCATTAACCAGAAATCAGTGATGTGAACAACATAAACCTTCTCGCTCAGCAGTAGAATGACAGTTAGTGGTGCCGCGCTAAAATCTCTGGCTTTAGAGACAGCTCCTGCTTATAAAGAAATGTAATCACAATAATGATAATAAAAATTGTAAAATACTATCCAAGAGTAACAAAGTGCATCACTCAAATGCACAATATTGAAAAAATACAAAAGCTTGAAGACCAAAAAAAAATATTTTAACTAAAAATATAAATTAGGGAAATATTTCACATATTCTGAGAATATCTCATTCTAGATAATAATAATAATAATAACGTAAATGCATGAGTTTGTTGTGCATTTTTTAATGGGAGCTGTTTTGTCTCTGTCTAAATTTGCTTGGTCGTAACATGTAGGACTTATTCGACTGTAGACCCCTGAGTAACCTGATAAATTACTGCTGAGTGGAGAGCAAAGTGATCACCATCAGAAACAAAAAGCTTAAAATTAGTCAAAAAAATTTAAACCACTGTACACCCTGATAGAACAAAGAATGTGTATTAAATATCACTGTATTAAAAGCTGAACGTCAGGTACAAAGGTGGAGCCATGTCAGCTGTTAATAAGATAATTATTAACTTAATTATTAAGATGATGTGTTTTTATTTATTTTCTCAAAGATTTATTTATTGCTTTTCCAACAACATTTTAACCAACAGGAAGACAGAGTTCAAATAAAATAGAGGAAATTAATAAAAAGAATTGAGTGTATAATAATAATGTATGTACATCGTGTATGAACAGTTACACATACTCTCCCATGTAGATCATTCAGATATTATTCCAGAAAAAAAATTTATATATAGATAAGTAAAATAAAATAAAACAAAGCAAAACACCCCCCCTCCCCAAAAAAATAAATAAATAAATAAAATAAACAGAAAAAACAAGGGGAAGAGACAGTGCTCCATAACACAGTGAGACAATAGGTTTAAGTGCATTATTCCAGGGCTTCGGGCTGAAGTTTAGTCCAAGGGTGTCAAGTTAGTTAGAGAGGCAACAACCCAACGGTTGCAACGGTAAGCTGTGTCCTCTTCTGTTCCAGTCAATTTAATAAGATGATGTGTAACTCAAATAGAAACACTCTCAGTACTGTGATGCTGTCTGTGAATATTGCTCTGTCATAATGCCTTGACTTTTATATATGTACGTATATAAATTAAACAGTCCTCCTTGGTCTTCCTTTGAAAAACATCAGGTCAGTTTTTTTAAATGTGAATTTGTTGTGAAGCAGGATTATTACAATGAAACAGCAAAAACAAAAAAAAAACTACAAGAAAACTTTTCACCAAAACATATTTTACGTGTAAGTGCATTAGTGCATTTGAGCAAATTCGAAATGAACTATGTCAATACAGGATTCTTTGTCCCACAATGTGGAATTACAACATTTAATCTAAAACAGATACCGAATGTCCCAAATGAAACTTATGACCACATACATGCTCATATTTTGGAAAGGATGGAAGAAGGCATAAATGGTTATGGGCTGAGTGAGGGTGATGATGGTGAACTGATGTAGGGTGGTGGTGCTGGTAGTAGTAGTGATGGTAGTGGTGGTGGCGGCGCTGGTGACTGGTTGAGGCAGGGTGGTGGGTTGATGTAGGGTGGCGGTGAAGGTGGGTTGATGTAGGGTGGTGGTTCAAGCTGAAAAACAGGACACATTTGATGAAGGAGCGTGCTTATTACTGGATTAAGAATAGACTCAGTGAACAACATGAGCATCATCATCATCATCATGACGTCATAAATGCATGAATACTTACTATGTATGGAGGAGGAGGACTGTCATTTCTTAAGTTGTACACAGGAGGCTGAAAACACAGTTCGTAAATGTGAATTACTTCCTCTTCGTCCCGCTGCTGCTCGTCCAGTATAGGGATCGTGTACACAGCGGGAGAATTATTGTGACTAGGTGAGCAGTATTGTCCTGGTTCTCTATTATAAGTTAGGCAACAAAATATGCACACAAGGACGAGGACAATCAACCCAGGAACCCTGGGAAGAGAAAGGCAACGTAATCATTAACTAACATTAATAAAATGAGGTGTTTGTATCAATCTTGCCCTGGAAAGAAATACTTACAAAAAAACAAGAAAGTCCATCAGATTTTTCTTTAAACCTAAGTAAGGTTTAAGAAAAAAAGAGCACTTGTCAAAAAATAAATACATTTTCAATCTCATTTTTAACTTTATGAACTTAACTCTTCTTTATGGATGTTATGCAATCAGGTGTTCACTATCTAAGTGTTACTAAGGAGAGGTTCAAAGGTAGATTTTTATCTTCTTCTACTGTCAGACTACAACAAAAAAGAAACCTGGAAATACTTTATATAATATGGCCTACAACTTAAGCTATAATTTCCCTGTAACTACAAGGAATTTAATGTATTTTACTTAAAATTACAATGAAATACATTTACCTACAAATACTTAAAGCTGGGTACAGGAAGCACTCATTTCCTGTATTTAGAAAGTTATGTTTAAACAGTGATGACTTGGCTCTATCATCATATGGTCACATAGGCATGTAAAAGAACAGCTGACTTAGAGAACATCCATCATGCACATCAACATATTGAGTATTAAATAAAAATGTAAAAAGGCAATTCAACGCCCCATGAAACAAGGCGTGAGTATAGTGTTTGCTATTCCACAAAATGACAATGAAATTTTACACTACTTTAAATGACTTATGCAGTACATACATTTATTTACCGTGACATTTATTTACCATATAATTTCTTTGTTTCCTGTAAAAACCTGAGTTGTTGCCCGCCTATTTTATTCTGTTATTCCTACCTTTAAGCATTTGAAGCTTGATATAATTACATTATGATTTAAAATAAAAAACACTGATTTAGTTACAGGAGAATTACACCTTAGTCACAGCACATATTATAAACTCTTGGCGATGGTTGTTTAAGGTAAAGCTAATCAACATTTACGTTAAAACTTCATTTAACACAAACGTTTAATTGTTGCTAACACACTTTATATCACACCTCGGTACAAAATTAAACCTCAACAAAATTTGGATCAAACAAAGTGGAGGACAATTACAAAACATTTATTTTTCATTTTGAATGACATGTAATGACACAGGCTGAGTGTGGCTTCTCCTCGTGATATGGGCCTCGCTCAACAAAATCCATTACTAATAGATTCATCAAATTATTTCCATTTTTAAAATAAAGCTTACCTTCAGCTATATGTAGGTTAAGCAGAATGTTGACTTATATCAATGTACAGCCTTGTTTAAGAAGCAGAAATCACCTAGATTGGAGCTATTGACGCAACTTATCATCAGTTATGCTCTTGCTACACAGTATATTGACAGCTGCGCTGGGCTAAAGTCCACTGCCATTAAAGGTAACAATATGCAGGTGTAATAAGGAAAGGAAATCACATTTTGGGGTGGGGGGATAAGCAGACAAGGGAGAGCAAGAATCCCTGTTTCAGCTTGTTTTTAAGGAATGCAGTCGAGGTGTTGTTGAGACATGTTGGAGGAATCTGTAGAGCGGCTGTCTGTACCAACAGAACTGCCATTCAACAGGCTGTAAACCACTGCAAGCTCTCAAGCTAAAAAACGAAACAAAATGAATGTTGATCTCACGTCCTTGTTCACAGTCTGAGTAACTGCAAGTAATATGAGAAGTTATTCTACCAAGTACAAGACACACTGTAATGTTACAGTCTTAGGGGAGGCGGGGGAGGCGGTGGCGGCGGTGGCGGCACATTAACAGAGGTGCCAGTGTTGAGATGTGGTGCTGACAGAAGAGGAGGCGGAGGAGGAAGAGGGGAACCTGCAGATACGGGACGAGGTGGCGACGGGAAGGTGCTTGACGGGCTTATAGCTGGTGGAGGGGGAGGTGAAGGGGGAGGCGGGGGGAGATCTGTGAGCGAGGGGAAGGTGGGCGGAGGGGGGAGGTCAGTGTCCATGGAGAAAGAGGGAGGCGGCGGGGGAGCAGGCAGGTCGGGGTCCAAACAGGCTGAAGAGGCCGGAGGAGGAGGAGGCAGGCTGTTGTTGGTGGGGACTGAGGGTGGTGGCACAGCAATGCCGTGACTGGAGCTGTAGACAAGACATAAACACCATGAGCACTACTGATAACCTGACAGCGAAACTGTGTTTTATAATGGAACAGTCCACATTTGTGAAATAAAGACATTTAGAAGAAGTTGGAAACATGAACGCCACTCATGACCATGAAGGAGACTAGTGCTGGTGCACTGGTGCTCACAGAGACCACTCACACCCAGGACCTCACAGTGAACCCAGGACATTACTGCTGTGATGTGACAGTGCTAATGACCCCACAAACATACCACCTTTTTCCATATCATAATAGTTAATTTTCATTAAGTTAAGGGTGTTAATTAAAACAATTATGTCAGTGTTTCCATAAAAAACTAGCCACAAAGAGGAAGGGTCTACGTACAAAGAGGTGTCTGCAGCGCTCTGTATGCTGTCTGCAGTTCCTGCTCTCTTTCTGGGCGCTTCAGTGACCTGTGGAGTGAAGAAAAATGAAGGCCACAGAACTTCTCCACATATAACATGTACCATACCAGGAAAATAGAGATGATTTTTCTATAAAGCTTTCATCTAATAAGAAGGAAGACAAGCCTATCAGATTTTTCTTTACCTGAAAACTGTGTCCTATGTTGTCCAGTGTGAAGTACGAGATTGGCTCCCTTGAGTAGGCTTCCTTGGGCTCCTTGCCTGAAGCTGGTGGGGTCATAGGCTTGGAAAAAGTCTTATTTTTGGGGGTAGTGAACACACCGATCTCTCTCCTGGCCACCTTTTCACAGTGGATAGCTGCATCCTGCAAAGCACAGTGGAAACAGCTTCAGTCAGAAAGATGCAAAAACTCTCAATCACATCACTTGTTCCTCTGAGAACCTCTGACAAAGTTACTCTGTGGCTTTAAGCAGAAATGTTACATTGTAAATGACCAGTTTCACATACATGCAGCTAGCACTGTACTAAAAATATATGGCTATTTACCAGTGACAGCAGGTTGATGGAGGACTCCATGTCTTTAATCTGCCTGGCCTGTAAGTCCAGCAGTCTCAGCACAGAGCTGGCCACATTGTTAATCTGATAGGTCACACTGGCCAGCGACTGGTTCACCAAAACCTTGATCTCTTCAACCGCCTTGGATTGATCTTCTGCCTGAATTGTTTAAAAATTAATTAAAATGAAGAAGATGATGATGATTATAAAAGATCTAAACATGCAAACCTATGAAAACTGTTTTGTTTATATAGCCCTTGTGGCCCTTTTTTGGGAGTGGGGGCATTACTCACCTGAACATAATTGTTATCGCAGTAATCTGCCACTCGGTGGAGGTTGCTGCAGTTATCAACAAGGTCCTTCCTGGCAGCCGGCGCCTCTTGTAATATCTGAGTAATAAGTTCCGAACAATTCTTTTCCTCCGTCATTTCTCCCATGGGTGTCGCTGAAAAAAAGCCTCGTAAAACCTTTAAGTGTACTTGTTAGTATCTGATGAAGATGGAAAAAGTTTTCTGGAAAGAGGCAGCCGAGGCTGGGGAATGTGAGGTCGGTGGGGAACGCGGAAAAATACTGCAGGGTACAGAATTTAGAGCAGCTGGTCCCAGGGCAGGGCTAACAAGTGAGGTCTCGACTAGGACTGCTTAAGCAACATCTGTCTCGCGAGAAACAAAAAAAAAAAAAAAACAACAACCATTTTTTACATTTATTTTTTGGTGGGGTTAATGTTTTACACGTCCCATAGTTTGCTTGATAAAATAGTTTAAAATAATTTTGCAGGTTTTAAGGAGCCCGGATGAAAGTCACTTGTATTATTCGTTAAGTCCACTAGAGGTCAGTGTAGTCTAAATAAAATAACTCAAGGTCTGTCGACGGCGGTTGCCCTCTGCAGTGATAACAACGGTGCGGGTGAAGATGATGATCGTCGCTCCACACGTTTGGATGCAATCTGTGGAAAGCAGGTATTTTTTAATGATAAATTCAGGTAAGTATAACCAGAGAGATGATGACTTTTGTAATTAGGTTCTTACATAATTGCCAAACGCTTCGCCAAGTTTAAATACATTGCATTGTTTTACATATCCTGTATAAACACATTCAATTCCCCAACATCCTCACCCCCCACCCCAGAACTCAAATTCTGGGTAAAAGTTCACAAGTCCCTGACTCCAGGTTTCCAACAACTTTGCGTTGGTTTACATGCTTATGCCCTTTTTGGGGCCATGCGATAAACCACAAGAAGAACTGACCTTAACTCCAGTTATTTTGAGTTTGATTACAGCCTTTTATCTAAACAGTAAAGAGAGAGAGTACGAATCATCATAATACTGCAAGATATATGTAAAAACCTTATGTTGTCTTGTTCTGATCACCCATTCACTTCAAATTATTTCTGACACGTCACTTGAAATATTTCCTACTACTGGATTGACTGCTTTAACATTTGTAGACGATCCCTAGAGGCATCATAAGAATCCCCTGACTTTCACTTTCCCCTAGTGGTACCATGAGTTTGACATTTGGACTGTATTTGAATCTTAATCACGATTACCTACCATGGCACTTGATACAGTTCCCTGGAGTTCATTGAGGAAAGCTGCAGACCAGCTACTGAGTTAATAAAAACAAAAAAATTACAGTTAACAAGAAACATCAAGAGGCTGTGGAAAGGTGCGTCTGTACCAGGAGCATTTGCTTTACTGCCACCAACACAGGGATGGTTCTAATTTGACAAAACAGCTCTGTGATAATCGAGCTTTCTTGCTGCTAAGGTCTTGTGAGGAGACCCTGACAGACGTAGTTAGAAACCCTTTTGGATGTGGTTCCATGCAGCTTCAAGCCCTAATCACACTTTAATCCTGAAGTAGGAGCCATCGCAAAATAAATGTATTCTTTCTTTATCATTATTTTAACTGGCATCTGCTTTTTTCAGTCTTTCACAGCACATGAGATTATAAATTGAACTATAAACACTTACTTCACTGAAGTTAAAATCATTAATTGTCCCAGAGATATCTTCTTCTTTTTTTTATCTGGTTATAAATTTCTTTATCTTTTAACTTGAGCCTAGAATTCAAGTCATGCTTATGTTTGGCTAGTATAATAGATTTTTGCCACAGTGTGTACAGTTATCAGTTTAGCTGATATTACAGAGTTATTAGGAGCCGTGGTGACTGATAAGACGTTTTTGATAACTTTATTTCTTTATTGGATATTTGTTTCACAAGACTAATATTCAGCGCAATATCAACGCTATCATACGATTAATGAACTCCATCTTTATCATTTAATTTATTTTAATTTGTCGGACATTTGATCTTATTCCTATCCTTAGCTTGACTTGAGTCTTAAAGGCTATATTTTAATTGATATGTAAATTCCCTCCAAATTTGTTTGATTTTCTGTGTTTCTGCACTCTTTGAAAGGACTTAAAAAAGTAACACAGAAACGTGTTGTCACATGTGCAACACCTTTTGCGTGAATTTTGACACAACATGTGTAAAAAATGCTTAAAATTACCTTCAAACAACTTTCAAAATAAACACGTGTGTGACAAATCTGACACAACGTGTGTTGTCCCTGAGCTGATACAACACGTGTTAGCACTTAATGTGTTGTTGTTAATACATCTGTAAGAGTGCAGGATGGGCTTTTTAAGGCTGGCTTTGATAAGCACCATACAAAGAACATTTCTTCTTCCTCTTCTTTTTATTTGTTTATTATATTTGGCAGCGTTTGTGTGCATGCGTGCCATCATTCTGTCTGTAACCACAATAACTTTGAATGATGTTTTGAATGAATTCTGATAAAACGTTTAGGGAAGTAGAGTTAACCATCAAATAAAATTTGCCTTACATCCAGTAAAGTCTACAAGGTCAGCTCATGTATTGGTGGGAAATTGACAAAAAGCCTCAGAAGTTTAGTGTTCATTGGGAATATATAGAAAGCACTGTATGCAGATTTAAAATATGTCCCATTTGACCTCTGACCTGTCTTTGGAAGCCAATAGAATGACCTGAACATAAAGGCATTTGAGGGAATTCTGAAAATCACATTACAATAACAGGTTACAGTCAGGCATAACATTTCAAATATGTGTGCAGTGTTTCTGAATAAGTCTAATTTTTAATAAAATAAAATAGACTGATGATCAAAACCTTTTTTTGCTTGCTAGCATTACTAAACATTTAAACCCATTTACTAAACAATGAAATGAATGCTACAAATGCATTATATGAACAAAAATACAAATAATAAAAAATAATTATACTTAAAATAATGTCAGGTATAATACAATTGGTTTCAACAGGGCAAATAACAAAGGTCCGATTTTTTAGGCTTTAGCTTCAGTTGAGCAGATCTTTCATTTCTTTTGTTTTTTTTTTATTGATCGTTTGATGAATGCCAACACCAGTTCTGCAAATTGTGCCTTGTGCTGCAGCAGCACTTTATCTAAGCTCCCCAGTCATGACAAGCAGTAGTCCAACACACTATGCCAAGACAAGAAGTTGTGGGCTCACAACATAACATACTACAGAGCAGCTGAGGAAAGGGAAAACACTCTATACTTACCTTTCTGCACTCTCACTGACCTCAGACATTATGTCAACTTAAATGCACAACTGTGGTGTTTTAACCTGTTCATTAATGGTTGTGACTGTGCTTCTTTAGTCCTCTCGGTACTGGAAAAAGAAAAGGTATGTGTGAAGAGTGTTAAGTAATGAACAAGTTTGCTACTTTAGCTTTGACCATCTGATAAGATCTGAACTGTTGCTTTTATCAGTGAACCCCAACCCACTGCAAATGAGTAGTATTCAAATCTAAGTCCAACGTGCATATCGGTCAGGACAGCACAAACTGCTGTTTTATGGTCTTGTTTACACCGTGAAACTATTCAAGTGTGAAGCTGTTTATTTTTAAAAATGGAATTGCTTGTAGTCCCTCAAAATACATCCCATTCACTAGAGGGCATGGAAAAATATATTCTTGGTCATTTTAATTAAATATCAAAGAACCTGGTAGAAGCAAGTCAGGTTCAGATGTGTAGAGCAATGCTGGGACTAATATAACATCAACAAACCCGAAGAAGAAGTCATATAGTTTAGGTTTGTAATAATTGCAAGAAAAGTGAAATCGAGCCTCTTGAACTGAACAAATCTACGGTCCCTGGCGCTGGTTCATGCTGCATACTTATTTGAACAGAAGCAAAAATTTTAAAAATAAATGTTCTGTTGACATTCTATGTCTGGGTGTATTCATGAGGGTTGAAGAAACAGTTTCCATAACATTTAAAAATATTTTTAATTTCGACGTTGTTTATATGGAGCAGTGTTCTCCTCCGGTGCCTTTTTTTGGGCTATTTTTACTTCTGTTGGCATGTTATCACTACCAGCTGTTGAAACCATTGCCTGGATGTGGTTCATGTTGATTTTTTTTTGTGCAACATTGCTCCGATTAATGCCCTGCTTTGATACTTCTATGAATCTTAATGAAAGGTTCTTTTGGCTGAGCCCTTGTTTCCCATGGGGCTGCAGCAGTAGATAGACAACCATGTCTGATTTTTATAACAGATGCTCTTCATGACGCAGCGCTCCTATTTATCTCTGCTTGGGACTGGTACTAGGAGTAAACTAGCCTGAAATCCCCCTGATGCTTTTTTTTGACTCATGAACTGGAGATCTCCCATTATTCACTTCTTCTGCTTCACTCTCCATGTGTTTATACACTACTTTGCATTTAATCATTAGTTATTAATAATCCCTGGCTCTCTTCCACAGTGTGTTTTCTGTCCTATCTCCCTCCCCTCTTCCCTTCACCAATCATTGCAGATGGCTTCAGCAGAAACTCGAGCCTGATTATGCTGAAGGCTTCTTCCTGTTAAAAGGCAGTTTTACCTCCCCGCTGTTGCCAAGTGCTCGCTGATAGTGAGTTGTTTGATAGTTGGGGTTCTCTCTGTATTATTGTGGGGTCTTTACCTTACAATAAAATGTAATTACTGTTGATTACTGTTGTTTTGATTTGGTGCTATAGAAATAAAATGTAATTGAATGCGTTAACCACTACATCACTGAAAATTTGCTGACCATTAAAAAAAAAAAAGAGTTCCTTTTAATGCCAGGATTACACCTACCAAGTTTGGATCAACTGTCTTTGAGACAGATGAAAGAATAACAGACGTATAGAGATTCCTTTATTCATCAATAAGAATGTTGATTCATCTGGAATAATAATAATAATACAGATGCCTAAATATAGTTTAGGTTGTTGTAATTGTAAGTGAAGAAACTCCATCCTTGTTTGGCTTAATGTCATCCTATACGCTGCCATACCTGCCTGCATACACTGATACACACATACAGCCCAGCAGCTGACATTTCCAACATATAGCTGTATGTGAAGATTGGATATTCTGGGCTATCACAGTTTCTCCACACTTCACAGACTTCCATTAAACGAAAAGCCAAATTTAATTATAGTTCTAGGGAGTGCAGGAAGATTGCATTAAAGGGACACATATCACACAGAGACACACACAAAAAAGGCAGCAGTTAACACTCTTTCATTGTCTCTCTGGGTACGCGCAACTGACAACTCAATTCCAGTTAG